ATGAGGTTGACCTGTAAGAAAATGAGCGGGGGTAAGGGGATCCAGGCTGTGATCGCTGGGAGCGCACAGTGGGCGAGAGTTTAGTAGACCCTCAATCTGGGTTAAAACGGTGGAATATTCTTCGAAAGTTAATGCACTGCTCCCAATTACTCGGCGAAGGTGAAGTTTAATTGATCGTACGCCAGTCTCCCAAATACCTCCAAAATGCGGGGCAGACTGCGGAATGAAGTGCCAGTTGATTTCCTGACTCGTCAGAAAACTTGCAATGTCCTCATCTTGACTTTGAGATACAGCCATCCGTTGCATTTCCGTTAATTCCCGTCTGGCTCCGTGGAATGTTGTGCCATTGTCTGAGTATAAGTCGGATATAGGGCCACGTCGAGACCAGAATCGTTTGAAAGCTGCGATAAATGCGGAAGTCGTCAAATCACTGACGAGTTCGATATGAATTGCTTTGGTGGACAGACAAACAAAGATAGCAAACCAAGCTTTGCCAAACTTCGGTGTCCGACCTACCGATGTCTTGATAATAACTGGTCCAGCGTAATCCAATCCAGAATGCAGAAAACAGCGGGTGGGCTGAACCCGAAAAGCGGGAAGATCAGCCATGAGTTGTGTGCTCGTACCTTTACGCTGGAGGAAACAAATCTTGCAGTTGAATACGATTTTCCGGACTATGTTGCGGGCACCGAGAATCCAATACTTCTGTCTCAAAGTGTGGAACATAAATTCAACTCCAGCGTGTAGCGATGTGACGTGCTGGTGTCTAGCTAATAAAACAGCGACTGGTGATTCCTTTGGTAGAAGTATGGGATGTTTTGCCTCGTAAGTTGCCATTGAATTGTCAATGCGTCCTCCTACGCGCATTGTTCCTTGGTCGTCAATAAATGGAGTGTAGCGAATCAGTTTGGATTTTTGAGAAAGTGGTCGTCCAGTGCTTAGCTGCTTGTACTCCACTTGGAAGAACTCCATCTGAACGTGTTTGATTATCCTAGAGCGTGCATATTGAAGCTCCCATGATGATAAAAACGATGACAGGCGTTCCTTGCAGCGAAGACGGTGTACAAAACGAAAGCAGTAGCTTATTGTCCGCAAGAGATGTGACCAGGAGGAAGCCTTGTTAATCATACATTGAAGATCATTTCCTTCATCGGAAATGTGTAGATTAACTTGAGGCTTGACCTTAACTTCCATGTGCGCAGCCTCCTCAGTCGACAGTGCAAACTTTGCCTTAGCAGGTGGCCAAGTGAGCCGTGATTGTGAAAGCCACGGTGGTCCATTCCACCACAGTTGATGGTCTACAAGATCCCTCGGTAAAAGTCCGCGTGATGCACAGTCCGCGGGATTATCCCCAGTGCGAATGTGATTCCAGCAACTACGTGGACAAGCATCTAGAATCTCAGCAGTCCGATTGCAAACATAAGTGTTCCAAGTCCGAGGGGGCGATGAGAGCCAATGCAGCACAACTTCTGAGTCAGACCAACATGAGGTACTGGAAATAGGAATAGTTAGTGCTTGCTTAACCAGAGACATCAATTTTGAAAGAAGATGGGCTGCATTCAATTCGAGCCGCGGAATGGATACAGGTTTGATGGGCGCAACACGGGTTTTTGCGGCGATCATTCTGACAACATAGTCCTTATTGAGTTTCACGCGACTGTAAATAACAGTGGCGTATGCATGAGAAGACGCATCGGCAAATCCATGCAGCTCCGCTGCTTGAAGTGGTGAGGATATGTAGCGAGATATGCGACACGTTTCCAATAAATGAACTTCTGCTACAAACTGTTGCCAACGTGAACATAACTGCACCGGTAGTGGCTCGTTCCATTCGACCGAGCTCAGCCAACTATCTTGAAAGAGAACCTTTAGAAATACAGTACTGGGGGCAAGCAAACCCAAGGGATCGTAGATCTTGGCAAGCTCCGACAGCAGAATCCGTTTTGTCAGAGCAGTTGTGGCGTCGGGAATGGTCAGCTTGAAGGAAAGATTGTCAGCAGCCGGGTCCCAACGTATTCCAAGAACCTTCACATGTTGAGCTGGGCTTTCTTCTTCTAGAGCTTCAAGGGGGTACTCACAAATGTCCTTTGGCAGCGATTGTAGTAGTGGCCAACAGTTTGAACTCCACTTTCGAAGTTTAAATTGAGCTCGACTCAATAACAAAATCAATTCATCCTTGAGTGCAATGAGTTCGTTGATATTATCGCATCCCGTAGGAATATCATCCACGTACGCGTCCCTTACCAACACCGCAGCAGCATTCGGATACAACTCGGCATGATCTTGAGCGATTTGCTTGAGAACTCTAACAGCCAGAAACGGTGAAGACGCTAAACCATAAGTCACGGTCAGAAGTCGGTAATGATCAAGTGTAGCAGTCTCCTCCTTTCGCCAGACAATACGTTGGTACTGCGTGTGTTCTTCTGAAACTAGGATGCCTCTAAACATTTTCTCAATGTCTGTACAGAACACATAACGATGCTGTCGGAACCGTAAACAGACTCCAAGTAAATCCCTTTGAATAGGTGGTCCAATGTGTAGTCGTGAATTGAGTGAATATCCCTTGCAGTCCTCCCCAGAGCCATCAAACACAACTCGGCATCTCGTAGTGGTGCTGTCTGGTTTAAATACTGCGTGGTGTGCTAAATAATTGTGACTGGCGAGATCCTCGGCTAAGGTAGTAGGAGGAATCAACTCCATGTGTCCTCGTTGTAAGTAATCCTCCATAAAGTCGACATATTGTTGTTTGAGTGCCGGAAACTTTCGAAATTTCCGTTCGAGAGAAGAAAAGCGGCGTATGGCTTGCGGCAATGTGGATCCCATCGGCGGAGCGGAATCCTTGAATGGATATTGGACGACGTACACTCCATCGTCTCTGCGGGAATGCGTTTGAACGAAGTGTTGTTCAGCGGGATCACTAGCGTCAATGGTAGCGCTACTTGGTTGAACTTGGTCCATGTCCATGAACGATCGGACTAAAGTATCCAGACCCTCGTGAGCATGATGAGCAAGTGCGTGGGTGTAATCATCAATACCGAGATGGTAACTGCCTGTAATGACCCAACCAAATTTAGTATGAAGTGCAATAGGATATGCGAAACCAAACTCTTGGCGTTCTCCAGTGTATATGTTCCAAAGTTGATCAGCTCCTAAAATCAGGTCGATTTCACCTGGTGTCCCAAATGTAGGGTCTGCTAAGGGTAGCTCAAAAATCTTTCCCCACATCGGGGTGTTCGACTCAATCCTCTGTGCTGGAATCGAGGATGTTAAAGTACTCATAATCAGACCTGTTACCACTACGGATGTTGTGCTTGTGCGCGAGAGCAGCGTGAACGTGGCGCGACCTCGAGTAACGCCAGCCGGGCTTGCACCTAGGCCAACAACTGGTATACGAGCATGCGTGCGCGACAGCCCTATCCGTTGAATAAACGACTCGGAGACCATCGTTATCGTCGAACCAGTATCCATCAAGATCCTGCAGGTTGTCTCATTGCCCCAGGAGTCGACTATAGTGGCTAAAATTGTTGGCAATATAGCTTGACTAGTGGCCAATACTCCTCTCTCCAATGTATGATGGCTGACCACGGCAGGATCAACCTCAGCAACATGCATGGGCGAGCGCAAGTTTGGGTCAGCGGATGTATTGACAGCAACACTCGGGGTGGTGCGAATCTCTTCTGGATGGACAAGAGTGTGGTGCCTCGACTTGCACAGACGGCACGTATTTGTGGAATTACAATCCTTTACTTGATGAGATCGACTTAGGCAGTTGAAGCACAACTTACCCTCCATTGCAAATGTGCGACGATCCACGACGTTCATAGCTTTAAATTGAGTGCACACATACAGACTGTGTGGCCCGTGACAATATACGCAACCACGAGCAGATGTAGTTGGCACGTCCACATGATGAGAAACTGCACGACGTTTGGGAGAATCATGAACTACTGTTAACTCTTGACAGGACTCCAGCGCATCAAACCGGGCGAAGAGAAAGGCGAACAGGTCATTTATGGTCACATTTTCCTTGCACGATTCACTGGACGTAGCCCAAGCTTCCTTGCATTCAGGGTCTAATTTTGAGAGCAAGATATGGATAAGCCATACATCGCGGCTGTCGCATTTCAGCGCGTGTAGACCACGTATACTCTCGTCCGCGGTGTCGACTATGTTACGCAACTCGATTATGTTTGAACTTTTTGCAGTTGGCAGCGAAAGAAAGTTTTGAATGAACGACCGCGCAATCAGTGATTTTTTATTATAACGATTTTTTAGCCTCTCCCATGCGTCCTGGTAATTATCGTCAGTAATGGGAATATGTTTAATCAGGGACAAAGCTTCACCATCTAGATACGACTTTAAATAATGGAACTTTTGACAGTTGGAAAGACTACTCTTCTTGTCGACTGAGCCTAAGAACAGGTCACTAAACTGACACCAATCTTCGTATCTTCCAGAAAATGTAGGAAGGCGTATTTTTTCGAACTGCAGCTCAGCGGGTCGCGCTGACTCCCGAATCTTCTCCAAAAGTTGTGTTTGTCCCTCAAATAGGCGTTCCACAGTACTAGATATCAGTAGATTTGACGAGTCGTGTCCATTATCGTGACTGCTCCGCTCACTTATGGCTCCAGTGAGAACGGCATGGGCACTATAAAACTTTCCCTCATATTCGGCGATATCCAAATTCGGATCCACAAATCCGTCTTCCTCATTGTATTGAACTAAGTCCTCAGAGAGCTCCATAAAGCGGTTGAAAGTTGCAGCCAATCGGTCCAACTTGTGTTCTAATGTTTGCACAGACGTGCACGACTGTACAAACTCCTGAGCCTCCGTAGATGCACGAGTTAGTTGGGATTTGCACGCACCACGCTGCTGAATTATGCGATGTACGAGAGTCTTCATGACGACCAGCAATATCACTCAATATATTTCAAATAAAATTAGCCGGAGATCCGGCTCGAAGGACCAAAAATTGCTTATGGTTGCGAATGAGTGGACTGTATTAATCTTTATGTATTTTTATTTGATTCATATGTAATATTAGTGGTTTAAATGTTATTTGCACAGCGGGTTATATACAAAGCGGGGGTGACAATAGCGGTGCGATGATGAATACGCGTGCGGGTACTCTCAAGTATAGTTTGGTACTGACTCAACTCCACCAATAAAGTCGAGCCCAAAAGGGAATTAGAAGATCACGCGATGCGACACTCCAATACCAAGACGGTGCACATCGATGTCTTCGTGTGCAGCTGCGCGTTTTGGCTATACGCGTGAGAATGTTACAGTTAAGTTTTTTTTTGACATAAGCAATAAGAACAGCGGGCAAACAATCGCGAGCATATGATTAGGGCAACTCTTATATGAATGAATATTGACTTAAAACTAAGCGATTAATTCCTCAACATACCGGCCCCCCTGAACGAATGTTCAGTTAAAGGGAAGCACAGCAATTTTGGTGATAGGTCTCTTGTACACTCCTCGGGCAGTTTTTACGGTGACCACTCTAACTCTCTCGTCTTGACCAGGATGAACTTCGGTGATGCGGCCAAGCAGCCACTTGCTAGGAGGTTGATTCGGCTCCTTCAGTACCACAAGCGTATCCACTGTTATGTTGTTGGTCTCCTGCTGCCATTTGGTGCGCGACTGCAAGGAAGAAAGGTATTCAAGATTCCAACGTTTCCAGAACCCTTGAACCTTGGCTTGCAGCTGTCTCCAACGCTGCAGTCTGTTAATGTTCACGTCCAAGAACGATGGCTCTGGCACCGACATATGAGGTTGACCTGTAAGAAAATGAGCGGGGGTAAGGGGATCCAGGCTGTGATCGCTGGGAGCGCACAGTGGGCGAGAGTTTAGTAGACCCTCAATCTGGGTTAAAACGGTGGAATATTCTTCGAAAGTTAATGCACTGCTCCCAATTACTCGGCGAAGGTGAAGTTTAATTGATCGTACGCCAGTCTCCCAAATACCTCCAAAATGCGGGGCAGACTGCGGAATGAAGTGCCAGTTGATTTCCTGACTCGTCAGAAAACTTGCAATGTCCTCATCTTGACTTTGAGATACAGCCATCCGTTGCATTTCCGTTAATTCCCGTCTGGCTCCGTGGAATGTTGTGCCATTGTCTGAGTATAAGTCGGATATAGGGCCACGTCGAGACCAGAATCGTTTGAAAGCTGCGATAAATGCGGAAGTCGTCAAATCACTGACGAGTTCGATATGAATTGCTTTGGTGGACAGACAAACAAAGATAGCAAACCAAGCTTTGCCAAACTTCGGTGTCCGACCTACCGATGTCTTGATAATAACTGGTCCAGCGTAATCCAATCCAGAATGCAGAAAACAGCGGGTGGGCTGAACCCGAAAAGCGGGAAGATCAGCCATGAGTTGTGTGCTCGTACCTTTACGCTGGAGGAAACAAATCTTGCAGTTGAATACGATTTTCCGGACTATGTTGCGGGCACCGAGAATCCAATACTTCTGTCTCAAAGTGTGGAACATAAATTCAACTCCAGCGTGTAGCGATGTGACGTGCTGGTGTCTAGCTAATAAAACAGCGACTGGTGATTCCTTTGGTAGAAGTATGGGATGTTTTGCCTCGTAAGTTGCCATTGAATTGTCAATGCGTCCTCCTACGCGCATTGTTCCTTGGTCGTCAATAAATGGAGTGTAGCGAATCAGTTTGGATTTTTGAGAAAGTGGTCGTCCAGTGCTTAGCTGCTTGTACTCCACTTGGAAGAACTCCATCTGAACGTGTTTGATTATCCTAGAGCGTGCATATTGAAGCTCCCATGATGATAAAAACGATGACAGGCGTTCCTTGCAGCGAAGACGGTGTACAAAACGAAAGCAGTAGCTTATTGTCCGCAAGAGATGTGACCAGGAGGAAGCCTTGTTAATCATACATTGAAGATCATTTCCTTCATCGGAAATGTGTAGATTAACTTGAGGCTTGACCTTAACTTCCATGTGCGCAGCCTCCTCAGTCGACAGTGCAAACTTTGCCTTAGCAGGTGGCCAAGTGAGCCGTGATTGTGAAAGCCACGGTGGTCCATTCCACCACAGTTGATGGTCTACAAGATCCCTCGGTAAAAGTCCGCGTGATGCACAGTCCGCGGGATTATCCCCAGTGCGAATGTGATTCCAGCAACTACGTGGACAAGCATCTAGAATCTCAGCAGTCCGATTGCAAACATAAGTGTTCCAAGTCCGAGGGGGCGATGAGAGCCAATGCAGCACAACTTCTGAGTCAGACCAACATGAGGTACTGGAAATAGGAATAGTTAGTGCTTGCTTAACCAGAGACATCAATTTTGAAAGAAGATGGGCTGCATTCAATTCGAGCCGCGGAATGGATACAGGTTTGATGGGCGCAACACGGGTTTTTGCGGCGATCATTCTGACAACATAGTCCTTATTGAGTTTCACGCGACTGTAAATAACAGTGGCGTATGCATGAGAAGACGCATCGGCAAATCCATGCAGCTCCGCTGCTTGAAGTGGTGAGGATATGTAGCGAGATATGCGACACGTTTCCAATAAATGAACTTCTGCTACAAACTGTTGCCAACGTGAACATAACTGCACCGGTAGTGGCTCGTTCCATTCGACCGAGCTCAGCCAACTATCTTGAAAGAGAACCTTTAGAAATACAGTACTGGGGGCAAGCAAACCCAAGGGATCGTAGATCTTGGCAAGCTCCGACAGCAGAATCCGTTTTGTCAGAGCAGTTGTGGCGTCGGGAATGGTCAGCTTGAAGGAAAGATTGTCAGCAGCCGGGTCCCAACGTATTCCAAGAACCTTCACATGTTGAGCTGGGCTTTCTTCTTCTAGAGCTTCAAGGGGTACTCACAAATGTCCTTTGGCAGCGATTGTAGTAGTGGCCAACAGTTTGAACTCCACTTTCGAAGTTTAAATTGAGCTCGACTCAATAACAAAATCAATTCATCCTTGAGTGCAATGAGTTCGTTGATATTATCGCATCCCGTAGGAATATCATCCACGTACGCGTCCCTTACCAACACCGCAGCAGCATTCGGATACAACTCGGCATGATCTTGAGCGATTTGCTTGAGAACTCTAACAGCCAGAAACGGTGAAGACGCTAAACCATAAGTCACGGTCAGAAGTCGGTAATGATCAAGTGTAGCAGTCTCCTCCTTTCGCCAGACAATACGTTGGTACTGCGTGTGTTCTTCTGAAACTAGGATGCCTCTAAACATTTTCTCAATGTCTGTACAGAACACATAACGATGCTGTCGGAACCGTAAACAGACTCCAAGTAAATCCCTTTGAATAGGTGGTCCAATGTGTAGTCGTGAATTGAGTGAATATCCCTTGCAGTCCTCCCCAGAGCCATCAAACACAACTCGGCATCTCGTAGTGGTGCTGTCTGGTTTAAATACTGCGTGGTGTGCTAAATAATTGTGACTGGCGAGATCCTCGGCTAAGGTAGTAGGAGGAATCAACTCCATGTGTCCTCGTTGTAAGTAATCCTCCATAAAGTCGACATATTGTTGTTTGAGTGCCGGAAACTTTCGAAATTTCCGTTCGAGAGAAGAAAAGCGGCGTATGGCTTGCGGCAATGTGGATCCCATCGGCGGAGCGGAATCCTTGAATGGATATTGGACGACGTACACTCCATCGTCTCTGCGGGAATGCGTTTGAACGAAGTGTTGTTCAGCGGGATCACTAGCGTCAATGGTAGCGCTACTTGGTTGAACTTGGTCCATGTCCATGAACGATCGGACTAAAGTATCCAGACCCTCGTGAGCATGATGAGCAAGTGCGTGGGTGTAATCATCAATACCGAGATGGTAACTGCCTGTAATGACCCAACCAAATTTAGTATGAAGTGCAATAGGATATGCGAAAACCAAACTCTTGGCGTTCTCCAGTGTATATGTTCCAAAGTTGATCAGCTCCTAAAATCAGGTCGATTTCACCTGGTGTCCCAAATGTAGGGTCTGCTAAGGGTAGCTCAAAAATCTTTCCCCACATCGGGGTGTTCGACTCAATCCTCTGTGCTGGAATCGAGGATGTTAAAGTACTCATAATCAGACCTGTTACCACTACGGATGTTGTGCTTGTGCGCGAGAGCAGCGTGAACGTGGCGCGACCTCGAGTAACGCCAGCCGGGCTTGCACCTAGGCCAACAACTGGTATACGAGCATGCGTGCGCGACAGCCCTATCCGTTGAATAAACGACTCGGAGACCATCGTTATCGTCGAACCAGTATCCATCAAGATCCTGCAGGTTGTCTCATTGCCCCAGGAGTCGACTATAGTGGCTAAAATTGTTGGCAATATAGCTTGACTAGTGGCCAATACTCCTCTCTCCAATGTATGATGGCTGACCACGGCAGGATCAACCTCAGCAACATGCATGGGCGAGCGCAAGTTTGGGTCAGCGGATGTATTGACAGCAACACTCGGGGTGGTGCGAATCTCTTCTGGATGGACAAGAGTGTGGTGCCTCGACTTGCACAGACGGCACGTATTTGTGGAATTACAATCCTTTACTTGATGAGATCGACTTAGGCAGTTGAAGCACAACTTACCCTCCATTGCAAATGTGCGACGATCCACGACGTTCATAGCTTTAAATTGAGTGCACACATACAGACTGTGTGGCCCGTGACAATATACGCAACCACGAGCAGATGTAGTTGGCACGTCCACATGATGAGAAACTGCACGACGTTTGGGAGAATCATGAACTACTGTTAACTCTTGACAGGACTCCAGCGCATCAAACCGGGCGAAGAGAAAGGCGAACAGGTCATTTATGGTCACATTTTCCTTGCACGATTCACTGGACGTAGCCCAAGCTTCCTTGCATTCAGGGTCTAATTTTGAGAGCAAGATATGGATAAGCCATACATCGCGGCTGTCGCATTTCAGCGCGTGTAGACCACGTATACTCTCGTCCGCGGTGTCGACTATGTTACGCAACTCGATTATGTTTGAACTTTTTGCAGTTGGCAGCGAAAGAAAGTTTTGAATGAACGACCGCGCAATCAGTGATTTTTTATTATAACGATTTTTTAGCCTCTCCCATGCGTCCTGGTAATTATCGTCAGTAATGGGAATATGTTTAATCAGGGACAAAGCTTCACCATCTAGATACGACTTTAAATAATGGAACTTTTGACAGTTGGAAAGACTACTCTTCTTGTCGACTGAGCCTAAGAACAGGTCACTAAACTGACACCAATCTTCGTATCTTCCAGAAAATGTAGGAAGGCGTATTTTTTCGAACTGCAGCTCAGCGGGTCGCGCTGACTCCCGAATCTTCTCCAAAAGTTGTGTTTGTCCCTCAAATAGGCGTTCCACAGTACTAGATATCAGTAGATTTGACGAGTCGTGTCCATTATCGTGACTGCTCCGCTCACTTATGGCTCCAGTGAGAACGGCATGGGCACTATAAAACTTTCCCTCATATTCGGCGATATCCAAATTCGGATCCACAAATCCGTCTTCCTCATTGTATTGAACTAAGTCCTCAGAGAGCTCCATAAAGCGGTTGAAAGTTGCAGCCAATCGGTCCAACTTGTGTTCTAATGTTTGCACAGACGTGCACGACTGTACAAACTCCTGAGCCTCCGTAGATGCACGAGTTAGTTGGGATTTGCACGCACCACGCTGCTGAATTATGCGATGTACGAGAGTCTTCATGACGACCAGCAATATCACTCAATATATTTCAAATAAAATTAGCCGGAGATCCGGCTCGAAGGACCAAAAATTGCTTATGGTTGCGAATGAGTGGACTGTATTAATCTTTATGTATTTTTATTTGATTCATATGTAATATTAGTGGTTTAAATGTTATTTGCACAGCGGGTTATATACAAAGCGGGGGTGACAATAGCGGTGCGATGATGAATACGCGTGCGGGTACTCTCAAGTATAGTTTGGTACTGACTCAACTCCACCAATAAAGTCGAGCCCAAAAGGGAATTAGAAGATCACGCGATGCGACACTCCAATACCAAGACGGTGCACATCGATGTCTTCGTGTGCAGCTGCGCGTTTTGGCTATACACGTGAGAATGTTACAGTTAAGTTTTTTTTTGACATAAGCAATAAGAACAGCGGGCAAACAATCGCGAGCATATGATTAGGGCAACTCTTATATGAATGAATATTGACTTAAAACTAAGCGATTAATTCCTCAACATACCGGCCCCCCTGAACGAATGTTCAGTTAAAGGGAAGCACAGCAATTTTGGTGATAGGTCTCTTGTACACTCCTCGGGCAGTTTTTACGGTGACCACTCTAACTCTCTCGTCTTGACCAGGATGAACTTCGGTGATGCGGCCAAGCAGCCACTTGCTAGGAGGTTGATTCGGCTCCTTCAGTACCACAAGCGT